GGGCATGACATAGGTTCCCATGACAACCGATTGAGTAACTGGGGTGGTACCCAAAATGTCGAAGCATGCTCACATAGCTTTGAGCCAGGACATGACATCGTCCTTCCCGTCGTATCTGGACGGTAACACGGCCGCCTTCTTATCCACATAGGAAAAGCCATTACCAAGGCCAGGATCTGCAGGAACTGGAGCTGGGACTGCACCACTTGCAGAGCTCCCTGCGCCGCTACTTTGTGCAGCAGCAGTGGAAGGTGCACCAACAAACTCAAGCTCAAAGATGAAGAAGAGAAGAGAGAGGCATAGATGGTAGACAAGGTAGCAGAATTTGATGCATTTGGCAGAAGTGGGGGGTTAAGATTAGCCTGATCCAAATATGCAATTTTCTGCAGTTGGTCATTGTGAGCCTTCTCCATCTGGGCTACGGTTTCCCGCAGATCTTTACCTGGTCAAACTGTTGGGAAACCAAGCCGGGGAGAGCGTCCATCATGTGGCAGTCAATTAGTCCTCTCACGCAGGCGACCAAGTGTGGCTCTATCTCATCATCCGGTAAGAAGGGAACAGTTTTTAAGACATCCTCATGGCCCTGTACACTGGCCTTCCTCCTCCCTTCTGACGCCTCTTCCTCCAACTTCGCCTCCTTTTTCAGTGCACTTTAATAGAGGGCCTTAAAGAGCGGCTTATCCTTTGCGTTTGCGGCATCCATTTGTGCCTTCAGACTCATTGAAGCTTTTGCTGCTGCTGCTGCCATGTTAGTCCTAATGGGGATTTCAACATGCACATCAGAAAAGATTTGGGAAAGCCTCTCACAATGAGGGCTCCCTGCCGTCTTCCTTGGACAGGCACTACGCTTCTTCTTTCTAACACCCTCGAGTGCAACACTCCGTGTCCTCCCTCTCTTTACTCTCTCTCGCGTCCGCGATCGTGTCGATATGGTCATTAGTTAACCCAATGAAAGAAACGGTTTCAAGCATACTTGCAAGCGCACATCGTGCGGGCGGTTCCCGACGTGCGGCGCACGGGCCCAACGATCTTGTGCGGCACACGACGTGTGCGGGGAACAACCCGTCACGCCCCTCTGAAAAAAAAAGAAGGCCAGGGGTCGAAACGCTGTGTTCGAGGCCCCCCGCCAAAATTCTAGCGCAACGAAAACAAAAATTGCAGGAGTGCTGCCTCACCTCGCTCCTCCTCCCCTTCCTTTCTTTTCGTCTCCTCCGACTCATCCTCCTCCTGTTCGCCTTCCTCATCCTCCTTGCCTCCTCCTCCTTCCCTGTACTTCCTCGTCTTCCATGCCTCCTCGTCTCCTTCCCTCCCTTGTGTCCTCCCCTTCCTCATGCCCTCCCCTGCCTGGCCGTCCATGTCTCCTCCTCCTCCCACCCTTCCTCTTTTCCCTCTGTCCATCTTCTCTCCTCCCCCATCTCTCCTCCTCCTCCTCGTTCTCGTCCTCGTCCTCGCTATCCTCATCGTCCTCCTCGTCCACATCCTCCTCCTCCTCTCCATATCCCCCTGTCCTCGCCATATCCCCATCTTCCCATCATACGCCCTCTGTCCGTCACCCAAAAAAAAAGAGTAATAATAAAGAAAATAATTAAAAACCTGCACGATTCCGGACAGGCACCCCCCGCACGGAACTCCGCACGAATGTGCGGCTCGTGCGGTTGCAAGTATGGTTTCAAGTGTAGTCAAAAGAGAAGATAGAACTCCTAGCCGGAGTAGCAATTCATTTGGACTGGAGAGCAGACACAAAAAATAAGCAAAATGAAATCAGAGAGATCTGATTCAGCAACACAGTCTGATCCGACTACGTATGAGATCCCCTCACGCCTAATCGGGCTCAGTCCCGTAAAAGCACAGCAAATCAAATTCAAAGTGTACTACACAATGCAAGAGAGAATTGAGTCGTGTCTAAGGTGCGGGTCAAGCAGCGGACCGTGCAATAAATTTTGTGAAATGTCTCAGATGAGATCCTCTCAATAGCGAGTGTCCTGGTCCGAAAGTATGAACTCCGATTCCCAGCAAGGTAGAGCAAGGTGATGGACATCAACAGGTTTGGGCCTAAGGAGCCCTTCTTGTTTGGGCCCAATCCCATTAGGTCCAAAAAGGTCTCAGTTGAGTCAAGACTGGGTCCCAACCAACAAGAGTTCACAAAGACGTACTTTTTGTCCCTACCGTGATGAATAACGAATTTCAACTCCAGAAAGAACCTATAGACTACAGCCGTTCAGAATGAAATAAATATTGTAGAAAGATATGGCACTGCGCACAAGATACTCCATCCATTCACTCATCAGGTGAGAAAGCAGTTCACACACTTCAACACAAGATCAAGACCATAGAGGATGGGAGAAGAACCCAGAACACCCCAACAGGCAGTCAATTCCATGCACACACACATACGCACCCTTGTGGGATGACACTTACCTGAGTGGCCGGGCTCTTGGGATGAATGAAACTCACCCCCCTTCTCACATAGTGAATGAAACTCACCCCCCTTCTCACATAGTCCTCCTGACTCAATTAGCATCCTCTACACTAGTGTCCTATCATCTACAACGCCGGATCCCCCATCAATGTTGAAGATCGAAGTAGCAACTTGCAGTCCATTGGTGCAGATATGGCTGCCACCCTCAAGCTCGCCTAACTTGAGGGAAGCCCTAAAGTCGCTCCTTGTCTTCCCGGAAGTCCAGATTCCAGTTGAAGGTGCCCTTCACTTTCGACTCTCTCCAATTGCATCACAAAGTCCTACCTGGTGTCTCGCCACCACACACACACACTCTAGCAACCTGGACGGCTCGATTGTCGACCGTACACGACCCTGCCAGGTGGGAGCTGCTTCCCTTTCACCACACTGCCCCACTTAACCCTAACTTCCTGCCCTAACCCTAAGTGGTTAGCCCTAACCACTTGGTTACGGTTATGGCAGCAAAGTCAACTCTCACCAGCTAGTAGAATCCGCTCCGATCCTGGCCAATTCGAAGTTCACCTTCATCAGAAAGTACAATGCCGTCCAATTGCAAAAAGAAATGAATGAACAGGAGAGGAAAGAGAGGGAAAGAAGAAGAAGAAGAAAAAGATAAAAAAAGAAGACGAAGAAAAAGATGTACACCAGCAAAGACCAATGAGAATTCCCTTCTTCTTCACCAACCACTCTCCTTTTCTCCTCCCCTCTTATTCAAACAATAAATAACAACAATAATGTTGAATGGCTGAACCAGAATCAATGTCCGAACCCCTCTTCCACTGCAGGCACAACATGAGGTCCACCATAGCCATGGCCACCTTCTTCCTCTTCATGTAGGCCAAGGCTATGGCTGAGTACTAGGGCCTCTGCTGTGCAAAGGACGACACAAAGCAGCTATGCACGCTCCTGTTCAGGCTGCCATGCCTGACCATGCCTTGAAGCCTTCTTGGTGCGGCGCAACCCCAAGAAGATGGTGCCCACCGTAGCCAGGTAATTACCCTGCCACTGTCTTCCCCTTTTCTCCCTCCTCCTCCTAGTGGTAGAGCTCCACCATAGCCGAGGTGGGAGCTCCAGGTCTCCTTCCTCCTAACAGCGCTGAACTGCCCAGCTCTCCTCCAGCCAACGCTCCAAGAAGTGTGGCGCCAAACTTCCACACCGAAGAATGAGGAGGAGCACTCTGCACTTTGCTCCTCCTGGAGATATAGCGGCCTACTTGGCTCTTGAGCGGTGACTTCCTAGGCCATGCGGCCTCCAAGCAACCAGTACCTCCTCCCTTTCGGAGGGAAACATCATTGCAGACTCTGATATTGCCCGTTCAGGCCCTAGACTCAGACTGGTTGGACTGGTACCCGCCTAGACCTGGCCTACAACTACTGGGCCTCTAAAAATGCCAACTTTTGTCTTCTTCTGCTCGGCCTCGAGTACCCGGCACATCTACTTCTACTTGGTGTGGTACCGGCCTACCTGCTACTTGAGTGTTTTCCCCCGCTGCAACCCTCAATGTCATGGCCACAGGTAAGTACTGGCCCTACAGGCCTCCCAAACAAGCTTGCGGGGCACACACACACTTGGGCCGATCAGCACTCAGACAGGCACGCAGACCATCAAGCATGCACACACACACAGACTTAGAAAACTCGGCAGAATGCGGGAATTTCAGCAAGGCATCCATTCCAGCGGCAGAACTCAGAAATCAGCAGTGTTCTCAGTCTGTGTTTTGGCGGGTCATTACAGAGTGATGTTTCCAATCAAGTGTCATCTCATGTCAATTGAATCTCTACGAGTGATGATAGAGGTTGAAAGTCATCAATAGTTTGGGAAATCCTGACAAATGCCTGATGTTTTCCCAGGTTCCCAGAAAAGCTGTACCTTCTTGTTCCCTGCATGCCCCCCCCTTCTCCGCCAACAAAAAGGTGAAAAAAGAATGGCTACAATGGGGCATTCAGACCATTCACATTCGAACGCCTGTGGAGATTGCATTTCGATATTCCCAACTCTCGATTCCCCCCCCTCCTCAAAAAAAAAAGAAGGAAAATTCAAAAATCCACAAAACGTTTTCCGTTCTTCGTTTCTATAATCGGGAAAAAGATTTCCTGAAATCTCTGCAGCATTGCAACACAAACAACAGTGGGCTGATTATCATTTCGGAATTCGCGCTCAAATTTGATGAGCAACGCGGAACAACAAGGAAACGAAAAGACTTTTTTTTTTTTTTAATACAGGCCGTACACGTACCACAACTTATGACTTAGTTTCGCACCTTCTGGTCATAACCAGATCCGGGCATCTGGACTTGGTCCAAACCGTCTGGTCAGACCCGGATCTGGGTCACTTTGGTGCAAACCGTCGGGAGAGATCCAGTGCTCAGCTTCGCTGTAGCCATGAACCCAAAGAAAGAAATCACTCAACACACCCTGTTTCATGTGGTCGGAAATCTCAAGCCCAGTTGGACATTGCAAGCCCAGTCGGACTTCTCAAGCCCAACGCTGGAGCCCAACAACAATAGCTATTTGGATCATAACATAGCAGGAAAATGAAATACCTGTGTTTTGAGGTATGGCAAAAGTGTGACTGCGAACCTCGCTGGATCTGGTTGAGCGCACACATAGGGATCAACCGATGCAAAAGCATGTAGCGCAAGCACGTAGGGCAGTGCTTCTGCTTCTGACTGTTCGGTTTGCGCCTCTTCTGCTTGCTGATGGAGAACACACACCAGAAAAAACAATTTACCCAATAAGCCCACACTCCGGATCTCGTTCATTTCCATACAGGACAAAACGCTTCCAAGGAATTTAAAGAGCGCTCTAGATTGCATAAGTCATTCCTGGCAGATTGTGACAGCATCTTTGGGAACTCCCATTGATTCTTCACTTCTGTGAATGAAGGAGACCGTTTGGGAAGAATCAGAAGAACTTGGTCTCAATGGACACAATAATATTGAATGCAGTAGCTAGGCTAGTGGCATATCCTCCTGCAAGGGAGGTCTGCGATGATCCATGGCCCGTACCCTGCAAAAATGTGTACCCCTTGTACAAAACACGTTATGATTCTTACGAAGCAAAAAAAATCCGACAAGAATTCTCTTCATAGATCATCTGGGGTACCACGTCCGTCTCTGGATTTGCATCTATGGGGTGTAAATTGGAAATCGTCCCGGAAGTTGTCGCAAAATTAGTGCGCTGTGCGGTTGGGAAAGAACCATGCGAAGAAATAAATTCTTCAGATTATTTTTTTTTGGCAACTTAAAATATGCATTTGGTAATTTTGGTTATGTGAGCACACAGTTGGTAGTCAGAATTTGCATCCATGCAAGCCATTTCCCACCTGCTCGTCTTCCGCTCACTGCTTCCTTTCCCCAGCCCTTGTTTCTTCTTGGATACATATAGATGGGTCTCTACATGCAAGCCATTTCCCACCTGCTCGTCTTGCGCTCACTTCTTCCTTTCCCCAGCCCTTGTTTCTTCTTGCATACATATAGATGGGTCTCTAAATAAAGACTCAATAGTTGCCCAAAACTTGACCAACCCCAGGGAAACTCCGAAAACTTGCAACTGAGCATCGTGCAGACAGACTTTGGGTGTGAAGCGCCCTGCTCGGTCATCCTCTTCCACCTTCCTGCTGCTCATCCCGTTAGATGGGTCTCTACATAGAGATTCAATAGTGGCCCAAAGCTTGACCAACCCCAAGGAAACTGCGAAAACTTGCTACTGAGCATCGTGCCGACAGACTTTGGGTGTGAAGCATCCTGCTTGTTCATCCTCTTACACCTTCCTGCTCCTCCTCCCGTTGCTCCTCCTCTTCCATTGCAGGCCCCGCCTTGTTCCCCTTCTCCTCCTCGTAGCGGTCAATGTGTCTCTTGTGGCATCTTCTGGATGGTGAGCTTGAAACAAACCATGAGACAGGGACGAGAATAGCAAACCGTTTCTACAAATCTCATGCCCTTTCACACTGCGCCTCTTAGCAGCAGTGGGAAGAACCGCCCCCGATGAAGCCCCGAAAAAAAAAAAAAGTTAGCTGCAGCGCTCCAACTGCTGCTATGTATCTGTATTCCAACATGGGGCAACTTGAAATTTCCTGATGCCTGTTCCCTCCCAAATGCGGCACGGCCCACCCTTTCCGGCTCCGCACTATAAGTTTTTATGGCAGTCCCACAATTCCACAACCGCCGAGCACACCCGGAAAGCAAAAAAAGGAAATGTTGTCCGCATGTACCGCAACGTCATTTACGAACCGGCGACTAAACAAAACAACAACAACAACGCGGTCCCTCAACAGCCCTGCCCACCCGCGGTTTCTGCTTGGCCTGGGCTAACGGCATCAGCTGAGGACCGCCACTCGCTTTAGGGGGTACAGTGAAAATAAAACTTTCCCAAAAGAAAAAGAAAACAAAAGGATGTTCCCGTAATGCCGACACATGTATATGCCGCCTTCCTATTCATACAATGGAGTGCCGCATGTTCGCAACCAATATGTCCCATGCTACACATACCACTTTCTAGCTGGGTGTTTTGCAGACAAGGGCAATTCATTCGCCTGTATCCCAAATGCCCGAACTTGACTTGAATTTAAAGGTCAGCTTCCGTCAGAAGAACATGAAAAAGCATTCAGGACGAGCGCCTAATTTGAGACCCCTCAGCAGAAACTACTCAACAACTCACGGGTGACTACAATCTTCCCCCGAACATAACGCATACGGGCTGTATTTGAGTTTTCGAAAAATTTATTCACACAGAATTATAGAACGCAGATGCGTCGTATTAAAAAATAAGGGCTGTTCGAACAGAACACATATGTCTTGTATTCCAATAGAAAGCAACCTTTGTGTTGTGTATTCGTCTACAACACATATGCGTTATGTTTGGGGGAAGACAGTAGTGAACCAGTCCCCTGAACAGTTTAACTATCATATGCTGCAGCTCTACCTTATCAGACCAGGAGTCCTGGTGGCCTGTGAGTGCCGGCTAATTAATTTCAAAACCCACCCTGTGGTGACAATTGCAAAGCAACAACTGGCAATTGACGTAGAAGGGCAAACAACACAGCAGAAGTCCTCGTATTGACAACACGGCAGAGACAAGAAGGGAAGACAGCATCAACATGCATGAGTTCATAACCAGCTGCACAGCATCAACATGCATGCGTTCATAACCAGCAACGAAGGGCTTAGACCGCTAGCACTTGGATGCTTCCTTTTGCCAAAGTGGATTCCCTCCTAAGTACCAAATAAAAACAACCAGGCACAGGCCCATTTTTGGCTGCCGCCACCGGCCATTCCACTTCGGTTGGCAGACCCCCAAACTTGCGGCGCGTGCACAGCCGCACCGCAGAAACATGCTGGGAAAAGTACTGGTGTAGTCTGGTGGCTTAGGTTAGCAGTCTCAACTTCTCTCAAATCATAGCATGCCCTCTCAACATGTTTGGTGGCATGCATACCCTTGAGCCACCATGGGCATCTTCAACTCTTTTGTGAGGCTCAAGGCCTCGGTAAGCCCTTTCTGGGCCCTGTAACAGCAACTATGGCGCCCTAAGTGAAGGTGGGCCTGACAAGTGACAAGAGGCCTATTTTTGTGTTTGACGGAACTGGGGGAAATTCAGGCAGTTACGCAGCGTCAGTTGCTTGAGTAAGCCCAGGCCCTGCCAATATCTCGGGCCTCCAGGCCCTTTTCCAAATGAATTGGAGGCAGGCTATGTGCCCGACATGGGGCACAAACTGAACACAGCCTGCCTGGCAGTTGGACATGGGTAGCCACCCCAGGCCCTGTGGAGGATTCCCTGCGACAGGGGCTCAGCCACTTGGGGCCTACCGGAAGCTTCTGGGGAGAGGCCCAGGCCAGCTTGGCAGTCCACGCCTGGCAGCGATAGGAAAGGGCTTCGCCGCTGGCTGGACATTCGGGCACTCGCTGCTTATGAGCAAACGCTTCTGCGCCAGCTGCTGGAGCGAGTGCCTACGCGCTCACGGGCGAGCAGGGAGTACGCAGGCAGCCATAGCCGGGCTGGCTTGCACATTGCTGGATGGGGCGCATGTGGTCTTCAGCTGCATGTTGCATCTGTGTGGAGGATCGAGGTCGTGAGTGAGGCGAGGGACATACGTGGTGCTTGAGGCAAACGGCATTGGCCAAGATCTGCACGTACTTCGGGAAGCTGTTGACATCACCGACGGCATTGTAGATAGGCTAGATAGGATCTGCCATTTGTAGTCTGGGCGCTGATGCACCAGGTAGGGGAACAACATTGGTTCATTGATGATGATGACATCGTCTTCCCGTGAGCTCTGCTGTGCTCCTATCTGGGGTAATTCGAGTTGCAATGCTGCTTTTGGTTCGAGATCAAGACAATCTGGTTTCATGTGTATGATGCGGCTTGGTTTCTGAATTTCGCTATCGCTCATTTTCCTTGCACTTTTCCCAACCAACAAGAAAAAAAAGGCGATGCCGGTGACTGCTCACAAGTTCTAGCATGCCTGTAAACGTGTTTGGTAGCACACATTCGAACTTTTCGACAACCTGTGCCAGAATAACCCCAAAACACATGTCGCTTTCCAAGGAAGGGCTTCATGGTATATTTGGACAAGTGGTCACAACTCATAGCACGCCCTCGCAACATGTTTGGTAGCATGCACAGTACCTCGCATACTCTTCGGCCAGCATGAGCATTTCTAACTCTTTGATGGCTTGTGCATGCATTGCAGCAAAAGAGTGAAAAAGGCGAAGTCAGCGAGTGTCCAGAAGTTGCAGCATGCAGTCTAAATATGTTTGGTAGCACACATTCCACCGTTTTGACAATCTGTGCTGATTTTGAATATCCCCCCAAAGAGTTGACCAAGGGACGTGCAAAGGTTTTTCCAAGGAAGGTAGCTTGCCAGGGTTCCTCCCCTTCATTTTCAAAATTATTTCTTGCGGCAGAATATGAGAACATTTAAAGCAGCAGGGGCGAGGTTAAGAGGATTGAGATGCTACAAGGGTCGCCACTCACCAGCCCATGACAGGATGAGGGAGTAATGCCTAAGCATCCCAAGAGTGGGACAATATATGTTGTTATTAATCACCGCTCACTGCGCTCAGTAATTACTAATTAGCATTGAATCTCCAATTGGTTTCTTAGGGAACAGAAGGGTGTGAGTCTCCAAGCCATGGATGTTTTTTGTAGGGAGAACCATGGGTGTATACATTCCTGTATTGTTTTTATGACCTGAGGGTGGAATAGATCCTCTGGACTGACACTGCCCAGAATAGAAAGGCGCCATGACCAGAAGGTCATCTCTATACAACTCAACGTTACAGCGGTCCTGCCGTCACATGAAGCCGTGCGCCCACGGAATATCGCGGCATGCGCGGAACCGGAGGAGGCCGTCGTGTGTGGCGAGGCGAAACGCCGCAGGGCCTGTGGGAAAAAGGGCGTTCCCACGAGATTCCGTGCGCCATGGCATCACCGCGCGTCGATTCGCGGCAAGGAGAACTCCTGGCACAGACGGAGCAAGGTCACGCGTCCGCCGCTGCGTGTGCCAAGGGGAGACGGCGCAGGGCCCGTGGTAAAAACAGAGTTTTCCATCGATAGGACGAGCAACGCACCATGGCGAGGACTCGCGCGCGCGCGCGAGCGAGATATATATACAGAGAGAGAGAGAGAGAGAGAGAGAGAGAGAGAGAGAGAGAGAGAGAGAGAGAGAGAGAGAGAGAGA